GGCAGCTCCGAGGCGTGTGGGCTGTTTATTTTGGGACTGCAGCACTGCTCCCGATCCGGTGCCTCCCGCCGGGGATCTAGGCCGTGTGCCGGATCGGCCATTAGCTGCTGCCTGAGGGAGCACGGGGAATTCTCGCTCCTTTCCTCGCTGCGAGAGCCGGGAGCAGCGCTCCTGAGGGGGCTGTGGGCTGGGAGAGGAATTCATGGGGAGGCTGCAAAGCTCCTGGTTTTGTGTGGAGGCTCCTGGTGTGTGTGGCCATAGGAGGAGCAGAATTGGTGTGGAGGTTCTCTCGCTGCAAAACTACTGTGTTTGTGTGGAGGCTCTCTCGCTGCAAAGCTCCTGTTTTTTGTGCTCCTGCTGCATGTGGCCACAGGAGGAGCAGAATTCGTGTGGAGGCTCCCTCTCTACAAGCTCCTGGTTTTGTGGGGAGGCTCCTGATTCATGTGGCCACGGGAGGAGCAGAATTCATATGGAGGCTCTCTCACTGCAAAGCTCCTGGTTTTGTGTGCAAGCTCCTGATGCATGTGGCCATGGGAGGAGCAGAATTCGTTGAAGGCTCAGAATTCATGTGGAGGCTCTCTTTCTGCAAAGCTCCTGGTTTTGTGTGGAGGCTCTCTCCACAGGAATTCATGGAGAGGCTGCAAAGCTCCTGTTTTTGTGGGGATGCTCCTGATGTGTGAGGCTCTCTTGGTGCAAAGTTCCTATTTTTGTTTGGAGGCTCTCTTGCTACATAGCTCTTGTTTTTGTGTGGAGGCTCTCTTACTGCAAAGCTCCTGGTTTTGTGTGGAGGCTCTCTTCACAGGAATTTATGTAGAGGCTGCAAAGCTCCTGATTTTGTGTGGATGCTCCTGATGCATGTGGCCACGGGAGGAGCAGAATTCATGTGGAGGCTCTCTTCACAGGAATTTATGTAGAGGCTGCAAAACTCCTGGTTTTGTGTGGATGCTCCTAATGCATGTGGCCACGGGAGGAGCAGAATTCATGTGGAGGTTCTCTCTGAAAGCTCCTGGTGTTTGTGTGGATGCTCCTGATGCATGTGGCCACAGGAGGAGCAGAATTCGTGTGGAGGCTCCCTCTCTACAAGCTCCTGCTTTTGTGTGGAGGCTCTCTTCACAGGAATTTATGTAGAGGCTGCAAAGCTCCTGGTTTTGTGTGGATGCTCCTGATGCACGTGGCCACAGGAGGAGCAGAATTAATGTGGAGGCTGTCTCACTGCAAAGCTCCTATTTTTGTGCTCCTGATGCATGTGGCCACGGGAGGAGCAGAATTCATGTGGAGGCTGCAAAGCTCCTGGCCGGGAGCAATGCTGCAGACAGGCCTGTGGGCTGGGAGGAGGAATTCATGGGGAGGCTCTCTCGCTGCAAAGCTCCTGGTTTTGTGTGGAGGCTCCTGCTGCGTGTGGCCGCAGGAGGAGCAGAATTCATGTGGAGGCTCTCTCTCTGAAATCTCCCGTGGGAGATTTGTTTGTGTGGAGGCTCTCTCTTTGCAAAGCTCCTGGTTTTNTGACCTGGTGTTTGCTCTCCAGAGAGAGCCACCACCACCTGCTTCCTGCAGGAGAAGGCTTTGGAAGGGGACAAGGTGTGAACTCAGGAATTTGTAATGTTGGACACTGCCCCAGCTCAGCCACTGATGTGGCTCTGGCTGTGCCATGGATCCTATGGCTCCTGTGGCACCACTCCAGGAGTGGCTCTGGATGTGCCATGGATCTGCTGGATCCTGTTCCACCATTCCAGGAGTGGCTCTGGATGTGCCATGGATCTCCTGGCTCCTCTTGCACCATTCCAGGAGTGTCCAGCAGACACTGATGTGGCTCTGGCTGTGCCATGGATCTCCTGGCTGCTCTTGCACCACTCCAGGAGTGGCTCTGGCTGTGCCATGGATCTCCTGGCTCCTGTGGCACCATTCCAGGAGTGTCCAGCAGACACTGATGTGGCTCTGGCTGTGCCATGGATCCTCTGGCTCCTCTTGTACCATTCCAGGAGTGGCTCTGGCTGTGCCATGGATCCTCTGGCTGCTCTTGCACCATTCCAGGAGTGGCTCTGGATGTGCCATGGATCTCCTGGATCCTCTTGCACCACTCCAGGAGTGGCTCTGGCTGTGCCATGGATCTCCTGGATCCTGTGGCACCATTCCAGGAGTGGCTCTGGCTGTGCCATGGATCCTCTGGCTCCTCTTGCACCATTCCAGGAGTGGCTCTGGATATGCCATGGGTCTCCTGGCTGCTCTTGCACCACTCCAGGAGTGGCTCTGGCTGTGCCAGGGATCTCCTGGCTGCTCTTGCACCATTCCAGGAGTGGCTCTGGCTGTGCCATGGATCTCCTGGCTGCTCTTGCACCATTCCAGGAGTGGTTCTGGATGTGCCATGGATCTCCTGGCTCCTCTTGCACCATTCCAGGAGTGGCTCTGGATGTGCCATGGATCTCCTGGATCCTGTTCCACCATTCCAGGAGTGTCCAGCAGACACTGATGTGGCTCTGGATGTGCCATAGATCTGCTGGATCCTGTGGCACCATTCCAGGAGTGGCTCTGGCTGTGCCATGGATCCTCTGGCTCCTCTTGCACCATTCCAGGAGTGGCTCTGGCTGTGCCATGGATCCTCTGGCTCCTCTTG